TCTCCCCCCGCGCGCCCTTCCCGCGCAATCTCCCCCTCCCCGAGCGACCTTTCCCCCCCTCTCCGCGCCATCTTTCCTCCCCGCCCACCCCTCCGACTTCCTTCCCCCCCCGCCCAAGATCAGGGCGGCGACGAAGGTCTTGGCAACAACGAGGATTGTGGCGGCGTCGAAGGTCACGGCAGCGATGGGGGAGCAAACTGCTTCGATACCAGTGTAACGGGCGCAGAGGCAGAGGACGAGGAGGGAGCAGAGGGAGAGAGAGAGTGAGAGCACACACACACACTCACTCACTCACGTGACTGAACTCGACCGGATGCAGACACAGTGGCAAGGCACAAAGCCGAAGTCTTGGATTCCGAATCCCGAAACAGCAAGTCACACTGAGTACGAGTACAGCGGCAGAAAACTGGTACGAGACTGGTCCCCGTACCGTATGGGGAGCCGGTATAAGTACCGGTGACACGAACGGTACGAGGGGCATTTCTGCAAAGGCCCCGAGGGCAGAACTGAAAAATGCGGTATTTGAAAGTGGGGCCCGAATTGCAGCATGGTGCCAGTTGTCCAAAATCCTACGGTACCAAAGGAGGGGTTTGGGAAAAGGGTGCCAGGCCGAAAACGGGATGCAGCCGAAACAGCAAAAAGATAGACCAGGGATCGAGCCCTGGCGGAGTCCGTAACATCGAGCCCTGGTAGAGCCCATGACGTTGCGCCACAAGAGGTGTGGGCAAAGAAGCTTGTTGAGGTTGCATAGTAGTAAAGGCAAACATGGACCTGGGTTGGAGAGATAAACTAGGGTTGGAGAGCTTCTTCTTGAAATGATCCCTTACTTTCACACATGGATAGCGTTTGATTGGACGCTACATCCAGCTCACACCCAAAGGCCACTGTTACATACTTCGATGAGCATGGGCAGAACCAAAGATCAACCAATGTAGGATGAGCATATATGCAGCGGAAGTCTGATAAACGGACTGACTCACACAGACTGACTCAAGAATCACTCCACACACGTACAATCGTGAGATGGTGGGGTCTGGGCCAAGCATGGACGATGCCCAGATCCCGTACACTCATACACAGATGAAAGGTGGGAGGAGAGACGAAGGAGGTGGGGGAGGTAGACAGCACCGGTAGGTCACTGAAATAGAATCCGATAGGTCACCGATATGGTAGTCCAAAATGTCATCCAACAAGATCAAAATGTTGAGGACAATCAGTCACCAATGTCGGAGATACAGAGTCCAAATGTAACCGGTGTCCGAACTGTGATGCCGCCAAGTATCATTCCCAACAATCTCCAAGTCTCCAGTCCGGTAAGTACTACAGTCTCATACCACCGAAATCCAACACCGATCTCTGTCCAACTAGTATAAGTCTCCAATCTGAAGACGAAGAAGAAGAAGAAGATGGAGTCTGAAGAGGAGAAGAAGAAAAAGAAGAAGAAGAAGAAGAAGGAGCCGAGGAGGAGAGAGAGAGAGATTGGGGACTGGCGAGGGGAGGGAGGAGAGAGGCCTCCAACTCCCGATACCTCTGGCGGCTATGGCCGCCGGCACACTCAGTCGCCGCTGCTGCGCTAATGCTGCGCTGCTGCTCCTCGCTGCTCCTGCGCTAAACTTAGCGCCAGCGCTGTATCGCGCTGTACCATACCGTACCGGTAGAATGCCGGTAGGTCGATGGCCTCACTGAGGCTGGACCGGTACCTTTGTACCGGTGGGCAGAGGTCGGCCTCTATGCTGCGAGGCCTGACCGTGCCCTGAACCGTCCAGATGGATGGTTCAGCCCCAACCGGCGGGCGGCAGCCTCAAGAGCGCCGCCAGGCCCAAACGGTAACATCGTTTGGGCCGGCCCGTCGGGTCTGGTCCAAGGTAAGGCCTTTACGGCCTGTAGTACCCCCAAGGTCAGGCCTTAGGCCCTGCTGTGTCCCTCTACCCTATGTCGGGTCCGGTAGGACCCGTGTGGCGTCGAAGATGTAACAGCCACTCACCATGCATTTTCACATACTTATGCTCATAATTTACACTGTCCTGGTCATGTCATTGCATAGACAAATGCTAAGAATCAGATGTGAGTAGGGAACAGCACAAACATGTGTGTGTTTACGTGTGTGCATGTGTGTGTGTGTGTGCACATATTTGTATGTCTGTGTGCATGCATGTATGTTGCATGTGTGTGTGTGTGTGTGTGTGTGTGTGTGTGTGTGTGTGTGTGGAGTGGAGGTTTGGATAATTCGATTTCGAGCCTCCTGACCTGCTCACAGAAAGCCATATCCAGTGCCTTTCAGGTGTGTTTAATACTCACTCTTGAGGCTGTTGGCAGTGGTAATGACGAAGATGCCAGGCGGGTTGAGGCTGTGCGTACGAGTGAGGACTTCATGAGGATGGAGGCGATTGAGCAAACACAGTTGGAAACGGAGGTAGAGGTTGACAACGAGCCAGTTGAGTTCTATCGGGTGGAAAGAACAGGGGCTGTTGTTGATGATTACCATGCAGTGCAGTTGTTGCATATATTCTGTGCGAAGCTTCCAAATGACAGGTACGTCTTGCTCTCTCTCCCCCTCTGTTTGTCTTTTGGTCTCTCTGCCGTTCTGTTGCCAAAGTACTCCCAGGCTCCTTGCTGATTTGTGTCTGCTTATGGATCTCTTTTATTTGTGTTTCCGCACTTGTGTTCAGTTCTCCATGTTTGGCAAGTTGTTTGTGTTGTCAGTGACCACCTTCATTATATTGCAAACTGGCCATCGAGGAAATGATATGTCATGGCTGAGATGACCATGCAGTCACGTAGTGAAAAGCCTCTGTGGAATGTGGACCAGCTGTGTGCTGCTCAGTATGGTCTAGGGTCTATAGTGAAGGAGCCAAAGCTAATATGGTCGGAACAAAGGACAAAGAATAGGCCTGGACCCCATGTGATTATCCTCAGCTTGATTGTAGCCACCCTGAGCTTCAGAAAGTAGGCCCCTACCCTGACCAGCAGGAGTGCAAAGGCAGTGCTGCAATCTTAACATGCTGGCTACTGAGAGGTTACCTGCAATGTTGCCAATATGGGGTAGTAATTGAGGAGTAGCCTTCATGTTGACATAACTACGTAGCATTCAAGATGTGGTACCTGTGTTCCTCTGCATGGTGCTTCTCACATGACAACCAAGCTCTATCTGTGTCATTATGTCTGGCAACACCAACACATACGACCAAGCCGTGTACTCGGCAGTGTCCCTGCTCGTTCGACTATCGGCCATGGAGCATTGTCTGAAGGAAAAGGCCGCACTTTCGTGCACACATCCAAATTCTTGAAAAAGTGTGCGACACATGCATCCTAAGACTTTGAAAAGGCGCGACCCCACGACTCAAATGTCAAAACATGAGACCTGTTACAGTCCTGGCCAATTCCTGTGTGCAAATATCAAGGAAATACAATGCTGTCCAATTGCAAATAGAAATGAATAAACTTGAGAGAGAGAGACCCAAGAAAAAGAAGAAGTACACCAATGCTGTCCAATGGCATCCCCTTTCTCTCGCCAATCAACTTCTCCTACTTATCTCCCTCTCTCTTATTCAAACAATAGTTACAATATATATTTTACGATCCTGGCCAATGTTGAAGTACAAAATCACGAGAAAGCATAATGCCGTCCAATTGCAAAAAGAAATGAATGAACTTGAGAGGAGAGAGAGGGAAAGAAGTGATAGAAAGAAAAGAAGTAGAAGAAGAAGATGTACACCAGCAAAGAATGAACTTGAGAGAGAGAGACCCAAGAAAAAGAAGAAGTACACCAATGCTGTCCAATGGCATCCCCATTCTCTCACCAATCAACTTCTCCTACTTATCTCCCTCTCTCTTATTCAAACAATATATATTTTACCATCCTGGCCAATGTTGAAGTACAAAATCACGAAAGCATAATGCCGTCCAATTGCAAAAAGAAATGAATGAACTTGAGAGGAGAGAGAGGGAAAGAAGTGATAGAAAGAAAAGAAGAAGAAGAAGAAGATGTACACCAGCAAAAGATCAATGATAATTCCCCCCCTTCTTGCCTCTCCAATCTCCTCCTCCTTTTCTCCTCCCCGCCTATTCAAACAATAAATACTAATAATGATTTTGAACGGCAGAACCAGAATCAATGTTCAAATCCCTCTTCTGCTACCAGCACAACTTGAGGTCCACCATAGCCATGGACGTCTCCCTCTTCCTTCTTCCGCCAGGCTGAGGCTATGGCGGACTACTAGGGCCCTGCCCTGACGTGCCAAAGACAACACAAAGTAGCTATGGCTGCTTCCACTCAGGCTGCCATGCTTGACTCTGCCTCAAAGCTTCTTGGTGTAGCTCTAACCCCCATGGGGCCTTCCAGATATAGCGCCCAGCAAGGTGATGAAGATGGCGTCCACCATAGCCAGGTAAGTACCCCTGGTGTTCCCTTCGCGAGGAACAAGCCCTTACAGGGCCCTATCAGACATCACATGTTCTGGGCAAAGGCCCCCAGCGAGCTGATTGCCCGCCCTAAGTGAAGGCGGGCCTGAATATTTGTCAGAGGCCAAAATTTCGACACTTCCATATGTGGGTATTCAGGCTTATGCAGCACGCCACTTGGTTGAGTAGACGCGTGAGCCTCACTAAGCTGTGTCGTACAGTTGGTCCAGGCCTTGACAGTTGTGCCTGGGCACATACACACGAAGCAGGGCCGATACATTGAGAAGCAGGCCATCGGCCTATGCAAAAGCAGTACTGTCGACGCACCTACCTGGGAGCTCTGCACAGATGCAGCAAACAGCCCAAGTCCGGAGACTCAGGCCGTGCCCAACTGTAAAGGGCCCAGGCTCTCAACTGTAGCCTCGGGCCTGGGCGCAGGGACTGAGGCCCAACCGGAAGCTAGTGGAAGCTTCCAGCCGGGCCACATGCAGCATCCAGAAGGCTGCCACTTTCATATAGGAAGTGAGGCAGCCTTGGCGGGGCATTCTGGCCAGTGTTGGCAATGCGGACACGGTGCTGCGCTGTGGCCAGGGGTGCTGACGGGGCGCGTAGTGGTGAAGTGGGGCGCTGCAGGGCAGCGGTGCGCTGGCAGCCATAGCCGGGCTGCCGGGCGCTAGGGGGTAGAGGGCGATCTGGTGGTCTTCAGGGAGGGAGGCGAGTGTGGGTTCTCAAGGTCTGATGAGGGTGGCGGGATACGTACCTGGTGCATGAAGAGAGCTCGGCTATGGTGTTGACATCATGTACATTGGTCTTCGAGAGTCGAAGTGAGCCTGTTGCGTGAACACAGCTGTAGGTAGGATAGTCGAGTAGAGTAGGCTGGGTGCCAGACAGAGAGGAGCGACTTCGGGTACTGTGTTGGTGTGGCCTACGGGCTTGAACATTGGCTCATTACTTCATTGTATTGGTTTATTTGGATGGATTCTTGGTGCAATTGTGCTCTCTGCTTGTGAACGACTACTTAGACATCTGTGTGATTTCGCAACTTGGTTTTCTGTATATTGTGATGACCGGTCCAAACATGGACTGAAACACACAACTGATTTCTGAGTTTTGCCCATAGATTGAATGCCCTGCTGAGTTTCCCGCTTGCTACTAAGTCTGTGTGTGCACGCTTGCTGGACTGCATGCCTGTCTGAGTGCTGGTTGGCTTGAGTGTGGCATTTGCTCGTTCATTGGGCCCTCAGGGCCGGTACTTACCTGTGGCCATGACATTGAGGGATTGCAGCAGGAAACACTCAAGTAGCGGGTAGGCCGGTACCGCACCCTGAAGGGGTAGATGTGCGGGTACTGGAGGCCGAGCAGAAGAAAACAAAAGTGGCATTTTTAGAGGCCCAGTAGTTGTAGGTTAGGTCTAGGTGGATACCAGTCCAACCAGTCTGGGTCTAGGCCCTGTACGGGCAATATCAGAGTCTGCAATGATGTTTCCCTCCGAAAGGGAGGAGGGACCGGTTGCTTGGAAGGCCGCGCAGCCTGGAAGTCACCGCCCAAGAGGCAAAGCAGGCCACTATATCTTCCGGCCGGGCGGAGAGTCCGGCCTCTTTTTCGGTGTTCAAGTTTGGGGACAGACTGGTGGAGTGTCGGTTGGAGCAGCGCTGCTGGGGAGGAAGGAAGGACACAAGGGAGGAAGAAGGAAGGAAGGGGGAGGAGCGCCAGGGGTACTTACCTGGCTATGGTGGCAGCCATCTTCATCACCTTGGTGGGCGCTGCAGCAGGGAGTCCCCAATTGGGGAGAGCCACACGAAGAATCTTCAAGGCAGGGTTGGGCATGGCGGCCTGAGCTAGAGCAGCCATAGCTGCTTTGGGTTGGCCTTTGGGCATCTGGGCAAGGCCTAGTAGTCCGCCATAGCCTCGGCCTATGATAGTGAAGAGTGGGGAGGCGGCCACGGCTATGGTGGACCTCAAGTGATACCTGCAGTAGAAGAGGGACTCGAACATTGATTCTGGATCAGCTATTCAACATTGTACTATTATTTCTTGTATGAATAAGAGAAGGGGGAGATAAGGGGGAGGAGATTGTTGGGCGAAGAAGAAACTTCAGCAATCAAACGGCATCATATACACAAGACCAGATAGTCGTGACCTCGAACCAACAGCAGCAGAATAGCATCACGAGTTTCACCAAATAAGAACACACCAAGAGCTCATAATTGACAATGCTGGTAAAGTTTCATCATCATCGTCAATGAACCAATGTTGATATCCTATATGGCGCCCGGCGCCCAGACTACAGATGGCAGATCCTATCTAGCCTAGACTACAATGCCGAAGATGACATCAACAGCTTTCCCGAAGTACGAGCATACAGGGACCAATGTCGCACGCTTCCAGCACCAGGTATGTCTCTCGCCTTACTCACAACCTCGTTCCTCAACACACAGATGCCACTTGCACCCAAGGACCACCCTGCGCCACACCCAGCTTACAGCAGCGCAGCTCGGCTATGGCTGCCTGCTCCTTCCTGCTCGCCCGTGATTGATGTTGCCTGTTTAGAAGTGGATTCGAACCACTGACACAAGGATTTTCAGTCCTTTGCCCTAACCAACTGAGCTACCTAAACAAAAACAAAATCAAACTATGTTCAATTCAGAAAAGGTAATTCAAAGATTACTAAGTACAAAGGCACATAGGCGTTTCCAGCATATAGCGAAGTGATTGAACTCTCATGTTGCCATGAGAGGGACCCATCTTGAGCCCACACAATAAATCCAAGAACTCCAATACTTATCATAGATAGGGGTCGGGAGTTGTGTTTTCCCGAGCTACATTGCAGCAGCGCTTGCGCAGCATGCAGCCAGCACCCGAATGACCAATGTGGAGGCAGGCCCTTTGCTATATCGAAGTGGCCTGCCTGCGTTCAGTCCCAGGAAGCTGCCAGTAGGCCCGGGTAGCCTGAGGCGCAGCACGAATGAGAACAGGCCTTGGGCCTGAGGTGGTTGCATGTACCCAACTGCCTTTGGCCTGTGTTTGTCCCAGTACCCGTATCCAGCCCAGGGCCTGCTTTCCATACATCCACACAGGCGGCCCAGGGCCCAACTGGCGATGCGCAACTGCCTGAATTTCCTTGAGTTGCG